GCTATGATGAGCTCTAAAGCCAGACTGAAACTCTTCAAAAAGTTCATTATGGTGTAAGTGATCGCACACTTGTTTGGCAACTACTTTTTAAAGATTTTAGAAAAGAAACGAAGATTGGATATAGGTCTATAATTGACCTAGTGATCAGGGTCAAGATATGGTCTCTTAGTTAAGGTTTAATTACAGGAACCTCAAAAGCCTGTGGTACATATTCCTGCAACAGAGATAGATTAATCACATCTAAAATGAAGGAGGTGATCAAAGGGAATACTTTCTTAAATAACCTGGTGGGAACTGGAACTAACATACAAGTTGAAGGCTTAGATGAAGACAATAGTTTTGCTAACTCTGAAAGTTCAACTGGATCAAAGCAGTCTAAACCCAGTTCAGATTCTATGGCTACCTCAGATGCTTCCTCACCTTCTAAAGATAAATCAATCATATTTAGAGGAATGCAAATTATTTTATTTTTAATACACTCAATCTTATTTATAAAGAATACCATAAAATCATTACGGCTAAGAGCAGGTGGGATGGACAGTTCAACAGAGCTCTGGGTGAGTTTGGCAATTGTATTAAAAAGATATCTAGAATTAATGAGGAGAAATATGATGAGCTGATACTAGAGCTTTGTTCAGGGACCTGGAAGATGGAAGTCCAGTTGGATAACACAGGTTAGGGAACCTGTCCATGATGAGCAAGCATGAAGTGACAGTGGAGAGGAAAAACTCCCCATTGGGAAGAAACCTCTGTCAGAACCAGGTTAAACATGGCGGTCTCCTGCCGGAACAGTTGAGATGAGACAGGGAACACAGTAAGAGTCTGGAAGGAATGACACTGATGAAGCTTTAGCTACGATGGTGGAGGAGGGGCTGGAGGTGGGATGAAACGATGTCATCTTAATGAAATCACACAGCGCATCCGCCGACTGCGCACAGGAGCACACAAGTGCGTATGGGAGGCCTTTTAAGATGAACTTTGGATGCCGATTGGCTTTCGTACAGGTGTGCTTCAAAGCTGATTGGCTGTGTAGCAGCTGGATCTAAGAAAGGAATGAGTTTCTATAGTTGAACTTCCGCCTAGGCTCCATTAGTTATTTATGTAAAAATAAAATGCAGTTAGAGTATAAATTAAAGCCTTAATCTTTTTCCCTCTTTTTATTTTTTATTAGCTTTTATTCCTCTTATATTTTATTATCTTAACTTTGGAAGGT